AGTTCAATATGTTTCTCACTTTTTACACCATATTGATAGTAAACAGGATCAGTTCAATATGTTTCTCACTTTTTACACCATATGGATAGTAAACAGGATCAGTTCAATATGTTTCTCACTTTTTACACATTATTGATAGTAAACAGGAGCAGTTCAGTATGTTTCTCACTTTTTACACCATATTGAGAGTAAACAGGAGCAATTCGATATGTTTCTCACTTTTTACACCATATTAATAGTAAACAGGATCAGTTCGATATGTTTCTCACTTTTTACACCATATTGATAGTAAACAGGAGCAATTCAATATGTTTCTCACTTTTTACACCATATTGAGAGTAAACAGGAGCAATTCAATATGTTTCTCACTTTTTACACATTATTGATAGTAAACAGGAGCAGTTTGATATGTTTCTCACTTTTTACACCATATTAATAGTAAACAGGATCAGTTCGATATGTTTCTCACTTTTTACACCATATTGATAGTAAACAGGATCAGTTCAATATGTTTCTCACTTTTTACACCATATTGATATTAAACAGGAGCAGTTTGATATGTTTCTCACTTTTTACACCATAAAGAGGTTACTCCAATATTTCTTCCTCGGTGGGCAATGCTCTTTCAAAACAGACTGTCTGCTATTCCTTTGTTTGGCCTTCATATCCGGGCACTACTGGCTGAATTGGGTCTGGCATTGGATGACATTGCTGTCCCCAATGATCTGCTCATTCCACCATGGCTTATTACCATCCCATCCTGTGACCTTTCCTTGAGTCATCTGGGGAAGGCGGATACTCCCGATTGGAAGTATCGTCTTCTTTTTGCTGAACATCTTTCGAGCCATTCATCTCTTCCTATTTACATGGATGGTTCGAAATCAGGTGACTCTGTGAGTTCTGCCATGGTGTGCTGTGGCTCGGTAGTTGCTTGCAGGATCCCCTCTACAGTTTCTGTGTTCACTGCCAAGTTGTATGCTATTTCTCTTACCCTGGATCATGTAGAAGCTATGCAGTACAGTAATTGTACTATTTAGACTGATTCTCTTAGCTCTCTACTGGCCCTGGAATCGCTTAACGTTAGTTCTCACTCTGTTCTCATCGATATTCAACACCGATTGGCCCACTTTTCTCTATCTTCTATTTTCATCCAGTTTTTCACAGGAACGAGCTCGCTGACACTGAGCTAAGTCCGTCGACTCTAGTGCCATCTCGGGCGTGCCTGTCCCATACATGGACTACGGTCCTGTCTTCAAGGTGCAGCTTCGTGCCAGTTGTCAGTCGACTTGGGGTGAGCAACGTCATAACAAGCTTTTCCAGATCAAGCCATCTGTTGGTCTTTGGCCGTCTTGCTTCCGTAAGGATCGGAAGGAGGAAGTAGTCCTGGCAAGGCTACGCATTGGTCATAGTTTTTTAACACATCGTTTTCTTTTATCAGGTATTGATCCACTGATGTGTAGCCATTGTAACACTCAAGTTACAACAGCCCACATTTTACTGTCGTGCCGTCATTTTAGACGCATGTTTTCTAAGAGTTTACCCCGATGTTGGACAGTGTCATTGGTAATGGTGACACTGTCCGATTAGATTGTATTTTTAATTGTATATAAATCTTTTATTATTGGTTTTAACTTGCTGTATTTTTACATTTCACTTTAATATACTTTCTCTTTTTTTACCAGTTGTTTGGCACAGATAGCCTCGTTGCTTTGCACCATAAAGCACCAACCAACCAACTACTCCAATATTTATTTCATTTGGAACTTGAAACTCTGCATGTCACCCTGAAGGGAACATGTTATTCAATGATTATTAATCACTTAATTAGTGTAATCTAGTGGAATATAAGATATATAGGAATCAAAGTAAGATCCAAATTGGCTGCTCATGTTTTTAAACTACTCCATTACCAGTGACTGACACACATTTAAATAATGTTTAGTAGGTAACACTTGGTACATGAATGTTGGGCTTCACTTTTTCTTAGCTTTTTTAAAAGAAATACATGAACATATAATATTTCTTTTATAAATATACGATAAAATTTATCATTAGTTTAAGTTAGATTAATATTTTCTGAGAAAGAAAAAGAACATTGACTTCTTCAAATTCATGGTAATTTTGGCAATTTCAGGGTTCGAAAACATAGATTTCTTGTTTAAATTGTTTGATTGTGAAAAGAAGGGATACATCTACACACTGATCTCCACAAAAACAAGAGATTTCTGGATTTAACGTGTGGAAAGAAAAGTGCAGTGCTTTATTTCAAGGAGATTTGAAGATTTGTGCCGAAGTGTGAAGAAAATAAAATGCTTTATTTAAAATAATGGAGTAGTAGCTGATCATAATAGTGGTGACTATTGTGTGGTAAAGAAATGTCAAACTTTATTATTTACGTAAAAGATTTATTTAAAAAACTTGACAGTAAAATATAATTAAAGTATGCAGAAATACGACAGTCACAAGGTCGGTCAGGACTCAATGCAAGCACCCCAAGAAATAGCTGATAATTTTCTTTATTGATCAAGCGATAAAAAGTAACATCTCATTCACACTGAGGTTTGTATAAGCTCTCATCTAGTTCAAAATGTAGAATTTAAGAAAATTGCGAGAGTTTTATAGAAAATAAACGTATGCTATAAGAAAGTATGTGATATTTGCATACTACAAAATAACTCGGCATCTTCCGTTTAGAATAAGCATAATTGTATGTCGTATTTTAGACTGTGTGCTATAGACAGTATATTTAAAAGAATTGGTTTCTTATAAGTAGTTTCGTATAGGTATGGGTTTGCTGGTTGTATGGAATTTTTGTTCTTTTTGGTTTCATCCTTTGTAGTCAAACAATAGTTTACTGTGGTTGTAAAAAAAAAAAGATTTATTGTTAAACAAGTATAGTCATATTATTTAATAGTTATACTGTTTTCTGGTTTATCAGGTTATTGCCCAGCTGTGAACAAATTTGTTTGAAGTTAATAATATGTATTGGCCATAAAACAGTATATATGTGGTGTCCCCAAAATTTGTTACTTTATGCAGTTGTTTTCTGTCTTCTCAGATATAACATATTACCGTGTAATAATGGTTGGAGACGGCTTGAATGGGTAATGAAGAAAAACCTTAATATAAGTTTAACGTAACTGCGAATGTACATTGTTTCGAAAAGGTTTTGTCATCATCAATTCAAGACGTCTCCAGCCATTATTAGTCTCAAAGTGGGTTCCTCGTCATCGAATATTACCATGTAGTTTTTGTTATTAATAAGCTACTGGGAAAATCTATTTTATAATTAAAAACTAACTGTTCCTATAGTTGTGGATGATGTACTTAGATCAAATTAGATATTTTAGAATTATCGTGGTATTTAAGGCTTTTTTTCAATTTTGATAATCAAAATTAGTTTTCTGTGAATATTTTGTTTGTAATTTCAATCATAAAATGGGTATAAAAATACTATTATATTTTTAAAGCTTTGGTAAATGAAATTATAACTTACTTATTAGGTGGTGAAGAGAAACAGTATTTTGAAGAGAGAGATGTTAAATTATGTTATATAGATCTTTTAGAAGGCTTAAGGAAACCACAGTTGAGAATGATAAAAGTAGATTGTCATTTAAGGATACTTTCTTTATGGTTGATAATAACTACAAAAGAAGGTTGTCATTTAAGGATACTTTCTTTATGGTTGAGAATAACTACAAAAGAAGGCATTTAATG